AAGGGAGATAGAACCAACATAAGAAACAAAAAGAGAGATAGACGAAGAAGAGGAGCCAAGGCCCAAGGAGAGACTCAAAAGGCGGCCTCTGACAGTCCGGTCCCAGTCGCTTGAACTGAAGAAGCAGAGGAAGAGATGCCAATGAAGATCCTTAAAGAATGAGCTTGATAAAGACGGAAATACCCCCGGTTCTTCACTTGAATTTACTGGACTAGAGATGGACTAGTAAGAAAAGGCCCAATTAAGCCCATCACTAATTCACTTGAATCCAGTCGGTGTGTGCTTTCTTCTTTTCCTCCGGTTTTGGTTTTACCGATTTGCTCGGCCGACAACGCGCCGTTCATCTCCGACCATATGCTCCGCCGTTTCTTCGAGGGTTCACTTACTTAGAGATTTCTGCTCTCCGCCGCCTTCGGCTTTCGGAAGGATCCTTTTCTTCGAAAGGAGGACATTTTTTTTTTTTTTTTGTTGCCCGGAGAAAGCCAATTCTGAGCTCGCCAATGGCCAACAAAGCATTGAACCGGCGTCTATGGAATTTCTGTAAGCTCTAATTAGTCTTTAACTTGTTGGAAAATTTCAAGCCTTTTTTACAAGAACCCAAGAGAGAGAGAGTGTGTAGACCACTGAGAAACCACTGATGAATTAGAATGTTGAATTGATGGTGCTTGGCTTTCTCGACATAAAAAAAATCTCTTTACGGTTTCTCTAATAAGAATTTAGCTTTGACAATTGGATTATGTTTTGTATGGAAGTTTTAGAAAGTATTCTTGAGAATTTTGAGCTTTTTTTTTCAGTTGTAGAAGGTTCACCATTCAAGAAGAGACGTGGACTGTATGAAGGAGTTGTTTACAATGTAATCAAGCGATTTCAGTCGCATTTATCAGAATCAGGTAAGGTAGAGAAGGAGTTAGGAGAACAGGGACAGGGAGCAGAGAAGAGAACGCCTAGTGGCTCTTCTTCCAAATCTGGATTAGAGGATATAAGACGATTTGAATCAGGTATCGACTGTGATGGCTCTAGTGATGAAGATTCAGGTGATGGAAAGTGGAAACTGGACCTAGCTTGGCTCACTAGAGCACTTGAGCCAGCTATGCAATTGCGTAGATGGGCTCTTCCAACAGGTCTAATATTCTATGGTGTATTCATTCTGCTTCTAAAATCCATAATGTCCAGGCAACGTCTAACGTGTGTTTTCTCTAGGAGAGAAGTCACCTCCCGGTAGTCGATCTCTGTCTGAGATCATTGCTAGTATTCAGAGGAGTAAGCTCGGGATTGAAGGTTGGACTCTCGGTGATCTTACTATTGGTCTCTATCTTATATATCTTAGACAAGCATCCTTGTCTCCATTTGAGGACGTCAAGGGTGTAGAAGTTGTTTCAGAGTCTACAGTAAGAACATTATTCTGATCTTTATAATGTTTGTAACTTCCCTTTTACCAAACTCTAAGTAGCTTTATTGTTTTTTCAGGTTTATGATCTCATATATAATGCCGAGTTAGCGAAAGGTTGTTACAGGGATAGTGTTACTGGTCTTGCAAAGAACACTATGCTTCGCGAGAATAACATTCTTAAATTTGTGAAAGATTCAAGTGTTATGAGGCCTGGTTATTACATAGGAGTTGATCATCGAAGGAAACTCGTTGTTTTTGGTATACGTGGGACACATACAATTTCTGATCTTATCACTGATATTGTTTCTTCAAGCGATGAAGAGGTCACTTTTGAAGGCTACTCAACACACTTTGGAACCGCTGAGTCTGCACGATGGTTCCTTAACCACGAATTGCAAACTATAAGAAGATGCTTAGAGAAATATGAGGTGATGATATACCTCATTGTTGTTTTCCTTAATTTTTTTGTTTGTGAGACATGAGAAGAATGGATTTAAAATTGCAATGAATGGTCCGTAGGGGTACAAGCTAAGGCTTGTTGGTCATTCTCTCGGTGGCGCTATAGCTTCGTTAATGGCGATAATGCTCAGGAAAATGCCAAGGGAGGAATTGGGATTTGATGCTGAAATTATTTCAGCCGTTGGGTATGCGACACCTCCATGTGTTTCCAAAGAACTTGCAGAGAATTGCTCTGAGTTTGTAACAACTATTGTAATGCAGGTCAGAACCAAAAAAATCTCTCTTTTCTTGATCATATTTTCCTGAGACTACTCTCTGCTTGGAACTCACAGCATTTCCACCAATTACAGGACGATATTATACCTAGACTAAGTACAGCTTCTCTAGCGCGATTGAGGAATGAAATCCTTCAGACCGATTGGTAAACAAACATTTCCTTCTTGAAACTTTGTTACCTTTCTACAATGATTTGCTTACCACTGTGCATTTGTAAATCCAGGACGAGTGTAATCGAGAAGGAAGAATGGAAAAGCGTACTAGATTTGGTAACAAACGCAAAACAAGTTGTGACCTCTGTGCAAGACGTAGCTCGAAAAGTTTCTGATTATGCAAACTTCGGAAACAAGAAAGAACTACCTGGTATAACTACTTACTTGAACACGGGATTCTTTTTGCGTAATTCTGTATATCACTAGAAGTCTTATTTATGTACTTAACTTAAGGCTTAATGAATCTCATATTTCTTGAATCTTACCAGAAATCCCATCATCCAAGAACAACCAGTCTGAAACTTTAGTCTCTGAATCTACCACTAAAGATGTTAAAGTGCCAGAGGAGTTATATGTACCGGGAGCTGTTTACTATCTAATGAGGAACCTAAGAGGGAACCCGAAAAGCACCGCAGGAAAACAAGTAGAATACTTTAGTTTATGGAAGAGAGATCCAGGACAACATTTTCAAAGGATACTTCTTTCAGGTAATTTCATTACAGACCATAAGTGTGATAGCCATTACTACGCTCTGCGAGATGTTCTGAAAGGATTTTCTGGTTTCATCGACGAAAGCATCTTTAAGAAGAGATGCAAATGAAAAGGGATCTCATCTCTTTGGTAGAAAGTAATGTTTTAGTTTGTCTGCAATCATTGGAAGAATAAATGACCAGTTTATCACAGCATGAAGAGATTTTGTTTCTTAGAAATTTTGAAGGATTAATGGCAAGCTGGTTGTGATTGGTTTATACTTTTAAATGTAAGAATAAATCATTAGTGGTGGTTTGTGTTATGCATCATACATGATAATATTCATACCCCATGAGACAATTGTATAGTTTAAAGTCGATTTGGGTTCCTTTAATGTTTCTTTAAACTTTTGTTGTATGATACATAGCATAAAGACTTGTGTTTTTTCCGACATTGTATAGTGTCATAAGCTAAACATTATAAAAACTTTTCCTATTAACCCAGTTGCTACACGATTCTCTCATTTGGGGCCTCACTATTCATCACCCTACTGATCCCAACAAGTACTGTACTTCTTTATCATTCGAATTTTTTTTCTGCATTATAAAAGTCCTTCAAACAACAAATGGCTCATTAATTTCTTAAAGATACACATTTATAAATGGGTAAGAAAATAGTTAATTAAATATATTTTTTATTTATTTTAGTCAATGATTGGTAGCTACTTAAATGTAGCTCTAGGTACTAATGGAGATGCTACTTAAAAGAGTGGGTTTATAGCAATGCATAGACACACAAGAAAGAAAGTGATACATTTTCAAATTTGGTAGTCCTTTTCAATTTGTCTTTCCCTTTGCCGCCGCTTCTTGTCAAATGATATTAAATAAACCAACAACATCACTTTCAGGGTACTTTTCTTGATCATTCCTTCCTCCAGGACAGCCTAAATGCGTCAATCTGGGCCTTTTGCTTCATGAAGCATGTGTATCATGCAGACACAACCGGCAATTCTCAGCTAGTTTCCTCAGGATGATTATACTGTCAGCGGAATGCCAGATTACAAAGGGCTACAACTCTGTCTTTGAAATACCTTTGAAAAACCCCAGATTGATTGGTATACTAAAATATGAGGAAACAACAAACAAAGTAATGCCAGATCCCTAAGATACATACAAAGTTATTGTAAACGAATTTAAGAAGGAACTGATTTACTTAGCAAAAAAAAGAAGGAACTGATTCTTGTCGTTTTACCATTCGCATCCGTCGCTTGTGCATATAGGAGACGATATCGCAGCTACCTTCTCCGAGAAGTTATCTTTCCCAAACGTGAAACTTGTCTTCTGATGGTTCTTCATCATATCTCTTCAAAACGGGGATATATCAGTTAAAGACTTGACTCTCTCGCAAAATTTGTTTTTTGATATTTTCCACATGCACGTACGTTACATGAACCCTTCTCTCTTTATAGAAGATACGAGAACAAAACCAAACTTTATGAAACCCTATCTCAATAAGAAATAACAAAACCTGGAAAAAAAAATAAAAATCAAAGCAATGATTGACCAAATCTAATTATAAATTTCCTACGTAATAATGATGTAGCAACAGTTCTGAACTATTTATATTTGTAGTTTTTTTATCTATTTATATAAATTAATATATAATGAATTTACTAATGCCATACTGCGTAGGGCAGCAAAGGCCTTTCAAAAATCCCAGATTGGTATCTTCCTGTACAAGTTAAAAAAAACCTTTTTTCTCAGGGCTTGATTGAGGAACAGAGGATGTTCTCTGTTTGCTACAGAGTACAGGGGAGAATAAAAAAGCACGTTAAGAGAAACAAAGCGACAGGAAAATTAGAACTTTTAATAAATTATGCATGCTTTATAAAATAAAAACGCTCTTGTTGCAAGGAAAAGTGATGAAGACTAGATAGGCTAATAGAGGATAAAGAGACCAACATAGTAATGCCAAATTCCATTCTATTATTGACTCATCAAACTTGTTTTTGATGTCAAACAATGTCATTAAAACGACAACGGTTGATTAGCAGCAGCAGATCTAGCCTTCTCACTTTCCAATTGAACTAAGAGATTCAAATTCAGATTTTTGATGCGTTCATCCACTTCTTCTCTATTTTATGACTTACTCAAACACTCGTGACGCTAGGCACCTTAGAAAAACACATGAACGTAAATATATTCTAAAGGAAAACTTCTATAGGGGAGAATGTGAAGAAAGAAACGATGAACATGTGTCATTGTCTTCCAGTCTCTTCTTTTCTTAATCCCATTTCTTCCGTTGAGTCAAATAACTCTTATTGTCGTATCTAATTTTTGACCAGAGAAAATTAGGTTCAGTAGGAGACTTGGCTTTCTCCTTGTCCGGTTCAACTTCAAGATCCGAGATCTTCGACTCAAGATTCTTGACCTTTTTCTCAGAGTTCTTGGATCCGAGCCGCATCGGCATCAATTTTTTTCTTCCTCTCCAAGGAAACCTCATCAAGCTTTGACTTCAACCAGTCCAGCTTAAAGCCCGATTCCATTAGATCAATTAACTTGCTGTAAGCCTTAACTAGTTCAGTCTCTGAGAAGCTCTCTGGAGGCTGGTTTACTGTCTTGATTAGGCCGAGGAGAATCTTCATGTATGTTGTCCTCACCGCTCTGCCTTTTGGTTTGATATCAACCGCAAAGTTTGGGTACTTTGCGAAAATCTGGCTCACTGAAGTAACCTGCCAACAGCAAAATATATATCTACTGATGTTAACCAAATCCGAACTGAGATTGCATCTACCTAAATGCCTTGAGGGATTCTTAACTTACTTGAGAAGAAAGAACATTGAAACCTCTGAAATCTACCATCTCCTTGCTAGTTTCATCTCCTTGATGAACAACTTCAGTAACTTTAGTGTATACTTCAATGATTAGTGTGTTGTTCTCCAACAACTCTTTATCCTGTAACTTGTTAAGAGGCAAAGCTGCTCGAAAACCCCATCCAGGTATCTCAGCGTCAAAAAAGCCATCTCGTTCTGTAAAACAATCCAAAGATAAACTTCTCTGTTTCTTTTTCCTCTTTATGATTGAGATATTTATTTAGTATTGCCTCTTGAAAATTCAGACTTGGAAAATAAGTTATTTTACCAGATGTTCTGTGGACCTCTTTGCCTGATTGATTCAATATAATGAATTGCAAATTGGCTCGCCTTTTCCATCCAGGTTGCAATGATCTAGGGTTCGCAACGCACAAATACAAAGACAAGTAATCATCAAAGCCATCTCCCTTGGGACGAACTAGAACATACCTGAGAGAAAGAAATAAACCTAATCAAACCCTAGTTAGGGATACGTACAAGTTTAATTAGTTGTGGGATCTTAGAGTATAGAAAGCTAATGATCAGGTTCTTCTCACTTTTACCATTCGCAGCCGCCGCTTAAGAACACAGTAGACTCTATTGGAAATTTCCTTACGGTGAAGTTATCTATCTCCCATGTAAAAGTCTTGTGCAATTCCGTTCCATTCATCTTAAAGAGCTTTATTATTTTGCAAGGTTTGGTTCTTTCGGTGATGGACTAAATAAGACTTGTTTGGTTCTTGATCTAGGAAGGACATTCATACGTCAAATCGCGTTTATATATATAAGAAGCCAAGGAAAAACACTTTTATAATTCCAATTTCCTTTTTCCTAAAGGAATCAATATGTATCTAGGGGACTAGGGGTGTATTAAATTTTTCATGAATTTGTATTTGATTTTAAGTAAATTTAAGTAATTAGTTATGATTTAATTGTAAAAAATATCCAATCTAATTCCCATTTAAAACCATCAGATTTAGATCATTGTGTGTTTTTAACTAACAAAATCCTCTAAAATTCTTTAGAAGTTCAATGATATTTTATTTCTTTCCAGTAATCATTTATATATTAGAAGACTTTAAAAATATGATTGAATAACATATGTTTTGTGATAAAATATAAAATCATTTCAAATCCTTGATTTCAAGAGGCCAATGCGAATGGTAAACAGAACACCAACAATGTATAAACAGAGTAATGTGTCTGTTATAAATTTGATATACTAAACTTTACTCTTTCTTTTCTATTAGAAGATAGAAAAGCAAAACAGATAATGAAACTATAAATGAACATAGTAATGTCTTTCATTTTAATCTTTTGTAAACATTTGTCTTCTGCTGGATTCCTAGGCAGTTAGTATGTGAAAATAAATCATCATCATCATCATGTTCCCATGCAATAACATTACTAGTAGAATTTCCAGTCTTCTGATCCAGTTCAACTTTAAGATCAGACAAAGCCTCTTTCAATGACAAAACTGTAGCAGCAGCACTACAAGATTTGGTTTTCTCCTTGTCCAGTTCAAGTTTGAGATCAGAGTACGTCTCCTTCAACAACAAAAATTTATCAGTAGCAGTCACAGTTTTTGCCTTCTCCTTATCCAGTTCAATTTTGATATCAGACAATGTATCCTGCAATGACAAAACTGTAGCAGCATCACTAGTAGATTTTGCCTTCTCCTTTTCCAGTTCAGCTTTGAGATCTGACACAGTCAGCTCAAGATTCTTGACGTGTTCCTCAAGTTGTTGAATTCGACCTCCATCAGCATTTGCTTTCTTCCACTCCACGGTAACCTCCTCAAGTTTTGTCTTCAACCACTCCACTTTGAAACCTACTTCCGTCAGCTCGGTCAGTTCGCTATGAGCATTGCTTAGCTCAGTCTCTGACATATTCTCTGACGGCTTACCCATTGTCTCCATGACCCTAAGAAGGACATTCATGTATTCTGTCTTCACTACTTGGTTCTTTGATCTGATATCTACTGCTATATCTGGATGGTCTTCGAAAACCTTCCTTACTGAAGTAACCTGCCAAAGAAGAAGAAAAATTTAAAGTTTGAATCTTGTGTGGTTTTGGTTAATCAGAAAGATGAAACAAGCAACTTACCTGAGAAGAAAGAACCTGAAAACCATTGACATCCACAGTTTCCTTGTCTGTCTTATCTGGATACTCTAAGCAGCTCCTTAAGAGCTTATTAGTGAAAGAAGCTGGAAACATATGATATCCTTCAACAACTTCAGAAACTTTAATATAGATTTCAATGCTGAATCTGTCATTTTCCATAAAGATTTTGTCTACAAGCTTTCTTCGAGGCAACGTCTGTGGAAAACCCCAGCTTAGTGCGTCAGCGCAAAACCATTGATCACCTATTTCTGTTATAATACAAAAAAAAAAAACAGAAGGGTAAAATTGAAGGCTTCTTCATCTGCCACTTAAAGACAGACACAAAGAGAGAAGATAAGTTAAAAAACGTACCAGGTGTTCTATGGAGTTCTCTGCCTGATTGATTCAGCAAAACAAAGTAAAAATTAGCTTTCCTTTTCCAGTTAAGTCCAAGTGATTTAGGATCATCAGGGGACAGGAACAGAGACAAGTAATTATCATCACCATTGCCCTTGGGATAAACTTTTAATATCCTATAATTAAGGGAAAAAAAAAATAAGATTCGAGATTAAACTTCATAAGTGCTTATTAGCGATCTTTGAGAAAAACAATTCAGAGAAGGAAAATGAGAAAGCCAAAGAGTGACTCTTTTACCAATCGCAACCACCGCTTGGGAACGGAGGAGAGTTTATTGGACAAGTCTTTTGGGAGAAGTTTGTTACAGTCAAAGTTAAAGCCTTGCGGAAGTGCGTCCCCATCTGTTAATTTTTTAGGGTTTTGGTACTTGTTCGAGAAGGCAGAGGAAACTCTTTTTGATATTTGTTTGATCTATACTTTGAATCGTAGGCGAAGATCTATATCTAAGCACAAACGAATTTATCTGATTTGTGGAACATATGGGGAGACCTTAAAATTAAACATAAACATAAACATAAGATTTTTCAGTTTTTCAAACATAAAAAAAAACAAAAAGATAAGCCTTATCTACTAAAAAAAGGGAATTAAGGGAAAAAATGTTTAATCTCGCTGAAAAAAAAAAAAAAAAAGTTAAATCTTATTATATTTTCAATCATATATTTTATTTTTTTGGATGATATGTAATTTGGTAGTTTTGACATTCTCTTATTTGGATAAAAAAAAGATTTTGATGTACATTATTGCCATTAATGCACTTTAAAATCAAAAGTAAATGTTACGATTTTGTGTAGTTCCGTAAAAATCCCTAAAAGTAAAGAAAGAAATACAAAAAAAACTTCATCATAAACCATGGTGGAAAGATATGTTTGTAACTCACAAATCCTTAATTATATTTTGGTTACGCAGCGTAGCGTAAGGTCATTAACGATAAAAAAAAAAAACAAAATATATCACTCATATATAAAATTTGCAGGTTTATCTAGATTGAGGAGGATATGCAACAAACTAGCTACGTAGTATAAAAATCCTGATTGACCTAACTACACAAAATTCGGATCCTCACTTTTGCCTATGTTTTTTAATAATTAAAAACTTGCAATGCAAGTCACCTTACCAAATGTTGATTGTTTCTTACTTTCTGTAGATGTAAAAGCCTTTGCATTGTAAAACCATATCTTAATAGCAATATGGAATTAATGCTGAAAATTACTCACTAACACGAATTATATTAGGAGGTTATAACCATTAGGGTTCTTGCATAACACGATAGAGAAATCAAAATCAGAGAGACCAAAAACAGAGAAGCAAGAAATCGCAAGATATTGGTAACATCATCAATGGTGGAATGGGTAAGGTTCTGCATGCAGGTAGAGTTTGCTGGAGATAAGTCTTTTTGGTAGCTCTAGAATCTTAGATAGAGGAGATAGCGTCTGCATTTGAATATTTGATCCATCTTAATGAGAGCAAATTCCATGTTGCATGTTTTTAACTCTTTTCTTTTTTCTTCATAATTTTGCTTCCAGGGTAACTTTATGATCAGTTTGTTCTTCTCTATGAAACGACAGTTTTGGCAATGTCATTTAAACGAAAGATAAATGTAACTATGTAAGTGTGATCTTTTTCGTCAAATTAGATCATTATTTGTTCAACATGATAGAAGTCATAGAACATAATCTTTAATTAGAAATCCCATCTTAATTTACAAACAGTGAATAACCAGGTCTTTCTATTCGAAATTAGAATAAAACCAGAAAAATAAATAGAAGAAAAAAAATCGGAAAACTAATAAAACTTGATCTCTACATCAAGCATCCTAGTCGACCAACAAAAATCCATCGACAGACGATTTGGCCTTCTCCTTGTCCAGTTCAACTTTGAGGTCTGAAACCATCAGCTCAAGATTCTTCACCCTATCCTCTAGTAGTTGTTGGACCTTAAACCCATCAGCCTCTGATTTCTTCTTCTCCAAGGAAACTTCCTCAAGCTTTGACTTCAAGCTGTCCAGCGTCGAGCCATTTTCCATCATCTCAAGATTCCAAACCCTATCCTCTAGTAGTTGGACCTTAGATCCATCAGCGTCATATGAATTCTTCCTCTCCAAGTAAATTTCCTCAAGCTTCGTCTCCAAACTGTCCAGCCTTGAGCCATGTTCCATTATCTCAAGATTCCACACCCTATCCTCTAGTAGTTGGACCTTAGATCCATCAGCATCATATGAATTCTTCCTTTCTAAGGAAATTTCCTCAATAAATGACTTCAAACTGTCCAGCGTCGAGCCATTTTCCATCAGCTCAAGATTCTTGACTCGTTCCTCGAGTTGCTGGACCAGAGACCCATAAGCATCATATGAATTCTTCTTCTCCAAGGAAATTTCCTCGAGCTTCGACTTCAAAGAGTCCATCTGGGAGCCGGATTCCAACAGCTCAAGATTCTTGATGCGTTCCTCGAGGTGTTGGACCCGAGATGTATCATCAGCATCTTTCTTAGTCATCAAGGGAACTCTTGCAAGCTCATCATCTGCTTTCTTACTCTCCGAAGAAAATTCACCAAACTTTGACTTGAACCAGTTCTGCAGCTTTGCTTCCGCTACTAGCTCGCTAACCTTGCTGTAAGCATTTCTCAGCGCATTTAGCACTTTCTTTGGTTTGAATTCTTCTGCAACTTCTCGGGGCTCTTCTAATATCTTTCTCACTAATGCAACCTGCTAAGGAAAACGTGTTTTCGTTAATTACTCAAGACGCAAAACCTTATAAAAGCAAGTGATTCATTGATCAAAAACAGAAATAGAGACGGATCCAATTTTAAACTTGCCTGAGAAGCATAATCTTGGTGACCTACAAAATCCACAGTCTCCTTCTTCTTTGCATCTCCGCCTTCTCCGTCCACAGCATCAACAACTTTGATGTAGACTTCAATGATGAGTCTGTCCATCTCTAAATACCCTTCTTCCTGTAACTTGCTTAGAGGTAAGGTTGCGCAACCCCATGATAGATACTTAACGCCAAAATAGCATGTTTGTCCAACTGTGAAGAGACAAAAAAAACAAAAACACATGCTCATGTTTAAACAAGTTTAGTCCTATTGCCTGTTGCCAACAACATCCTACATATAAGTTCAGGAAGGCCTGAACAATTAACAAGAGTATTCCGATCCAAACCAATGCAAGTATAACTACCACATAGGCTACAATGACAATTCACCAAAAAGAAAAAGAAAAAATCATGCAAGGATATCTCACTACTTGGGGATCTGTAGAGCTCTTTGTCAGATTGATTCAGCAGAGAGAAGTAAAACATAGCCATCCTTTCCCCTCCACTTCCCAACGATTTAGAATCTGCAGCTAGGTATAAAGGCAAGTGATCACCACCAGAAAGATAATCTCCCTCCGGGTAAAGGTGGAGATACCTGAAAGAATATAAAACAAATATTAAACCATGTATTGTTTTAATAAAATCCTATTGCTACTTACAATCGAACTCATCAAGTTTTTTACCACTCGTATCCGCCACTCACGAATGTCTGAGACGATATCGCATCTTTCTTCTCCGAGAAGTTATCGATCTCAAACCTAAAACATGGCTTCTGATTCCACGACATAGCTGAACCGAAACGCTTTCGTAGATTTTTTTGATTGGTACTTCGACTAGCAAAGACGAATTTCTCAGAAACTTTAGTTGTTACTTTCAGGTATAGTCGTATAGAGGTCCTCTTTTATAGAAAAATTAAAAACCTTCTCCAAACCCTAACGTGAAAAGGAAAACTGATAAATAGATAAACTAAAATATATCCTAAACATTACTAAATTACACCGAGAATAATCATTCCAACAAAATAAATAAATAAATAAATAACTATTCCTTTCTTCATAATGTATACTAACGTCAATATCTCTTCTTTAAGTTTATTAATTAAAAAGTATAGCTAATGTATTAAATTTTAAATTTCATACAAATAAGGTTCTATGATATGAAAACGTATAAGAATCCTGAAATGGGTGGTGATAACCAAAATTTAAGGCAACTCACAATCAGATTGAGATTTCTTGCATAACACTGCAAACAAAATAAAATCAGAAAGATTCTGATTTTTAACAGGTGACCGAAAAACAGAGGAGGAAGTTCTCGAGTTGATGGTGCTACTTTTATAATCTGGATGGATGAGTTTAAGAGAATCAAAAAAGTCTATGCTTTGCTCATTAATTTAGGTATTGGATCAGAACACATGAACCTAAAATTGTATGATCAAACGAAAATGTTCAAAAGTGGTGCAGCTAAAACAAATACACCTTAATCATGTTTTTCAATTAAGCCAAAACTCTAAGACTTTAGAAATTAGAAATCAAATAAAACCGAAACAAAGGAAACACAGGTATTGTCTACTTCAAGCAATATCGTCAACCAACATGAATCCATCAGCACAAGATTTGGTCTTCTTCTTGTCCACTTCAACTTTGAGATCTAACACCATCATCTTAAGATTCTTGACGCTTTCCTCTACTTGTTGGACGCGAGACCCATCAGCATCTGCGTTTTTCGTCTCCATCAAAAATTTCTCAAGCTTTGTCTCCAAAGAGTCCAACTTGAAGCCCAATTCCATAAGCTCAAGATTTTTGACGCGATCCACGAACAGAGAACAATCAAGATCATATGATTTCTTCCTCTCCAAGGAAACCTCCTCAAGCTTTTTCATCAAACAATCCAGCTTGACATCCACTTTCATCTGCTCAAGCTTCTTAACACGTTCATCGAGTTGTTGGACATCAGCATCTGCTTTCTTCCTCTTCAAGTAAACTTCATCAAGCTTTGACTGCAACCAGTCCAGCTTGAAGCCTGCTTCCGTCAGCTCACTCAAGTCACTGTGAGCATTGCTTAGCTCTGAGTGATTCTTTGAAGGCTTTTCAAGTGTGACAATGAGGTTGAGAAGGACTTTCATGTATTCCATCCTCACCACTTGGTTCTTTAGTTTGAAATCTTTTGCAAAGTCTGGGTGCTCCGCGAATATCTTCCTCAATGTATTAGCCTACCAAGAGAAAGTATGTTTATCGTAATGATCAACATAAAGGAAGCAAACCCTAAGAAAGTAATTATCTATTCAAAAAAAATATATCCGTTTTAACCTGAGAAGCAAGAACTTTGAAACCGTTGATATCCACAGTGTCCACCTTCTCCGATGATACATCTCCTCCTTCTCCATCAAAAGCTTCTACATTTTGAATGTAGACTTCAAAAATGAGTTTGTCTTTTTCCAGAAACCCTTTTTCCTGAAACTTGCTAACAGGCAAGGTCTGTCGGAAACCCCAGCTCATGGCTTTTTCCTTAAACACTGTTTGCTTTTGAACTATATATGAAACATAAGATTAAAAAAAAAAAAAAAAGAGTTAACTGAATTAGTCACATGCTTATGTTTCAAGAGATTAGTTCCACAAATGTTTCAACCATAAATAGAGAAAGGAAAAAAAACAAAAAAACAGATTCAAACATGCATGGAAAGGATATAGCTTCATTACCAGATGATCTGTGGAGCTCGTTGTCGGAGTGATTCAACAGAAGGAAGTAATAATCAATCCTCCTTTCCCAACCCTTCCCCAATGATTTAGAATTTGAAACAGTCAAGAACAAAGCCAGATCATCAGAAAAACCATCTCCCTTCGGGTGAAGGGTGAGATGCCTGAAAAACAAATATTAAACCCTTAATTTTGATTAAACCCATTTAAATTGATGCTACGTACAACCAAATTCATCAACTTTTGGAGAACTCCTACGTACTTTTTTATATATCGAATACAAAAGACTGAAAGAGAATTTAATAACAGAGCTAATTAAATATATCCGATTCTTACCATTCACATCCACCACTCACGAATGTCTGAGACGATACCGCAACTTCCCGCTTCGAGAAGTTATTTATCTCGAACCTGAAACTCGGCTTATCACTCCACATATTTGACCCAAACGCTTCCTTAGATTTTGTCACTTCGTCCAATATACGAAAAACTCTTAGACGCTCTCTGTTTATAAAGGAGGGATAGAAAAAGAACCAAACAAAACTTCTAAAAACCCTAACTAGAACCAAACCAATCACTAGTACCAAAATATTAAATAAAAAATTTGTTATAATAATACAGTATTTGGTTTACCTATATAAGTTAATTTTGCTATAAATATTTTGTTATAATAAACTTCGCAAACCTCGATATGGTCAATTGGTCATTAGAGAATGAGAATGCATCAATTAATTTCAAACCTTCTTAAGCGAATGGTCCAGAAACAGAGGAAAGGTCTCAAGTTGATAGTGTTAGTTTTATAATATGGGCATTAAATTAAAAGACAAATATGTTCTTCTTATACGTGAGCTCAAGGAGAGTGCTCGCTAATTTTAGGATTGGATCGATAACACATTAACTCAAAAATATAATTCCAACGAAAACATCCAAAAATTAAGCAGGTCTTTCTACCAATCTCTAGCCTATTTTAGTATCATATCTATACGTCAATTAACCTAGTGGATCAACAAAAATTCATCAGCAGAAGATGTGGCCTCCTCCACATATTATATTCCAAGTCGAAAGGGATATTAAGAGAATCATATTATTCATTTATTACCATTAACCTCCTTCAAACCAGAAGACAGAAACTAAAGATACCTTGACAATGTCTTCAAAAGAGAGCCTCACAAGTCAAAAGACAATCCAAGGAGGCTTTTATGTTAAATGCTATAGACATACAAGCAACCTATCCTTTGGCTATGCAGCTTCTTCCTCTTGTCTGTACCAAAAGTAAAGCTGCTTTGCGCAGTTCAGACTCCAACAACAAAAGATTACATCCACAGATTTAACTTACACATTTGCCAGATGACTACTATGTGCGAGAGAGATTAATATGTACGATGTGATCAGAAAGGAGCTTAGTCTTTCCCCTCCTCACCACCATTTGCAGCCGCCGCAATTATATGAAATGGTATCATGCATCTTTGAGAAGTTATCGTTCTCATATGTTGAAAACTTTAGTGGGTTCAAGGAGAAATACATGTAATTTGCTTTGTTAACTTTAGGATTGGATCACACATTAACTCAAACTACGATACAACGAAATTAAGCATCCAAATGTGGTGGACATAAAGACAAAGAATAAATCAACATAAGGTCTTTCTAAAAAGACAAATCTCTTCACACTTTTAGTATAATATCTCTACAAAATCATCATCATAAGAAGAAGTTGTGTCATCATCATCAGAAAAAGATGAGGCCTCCTCCAGCTTAAGTTTGAGATCTGACACCACCATCTCAAGATCACTGATTCGTCCCTCCATTTCTTTGAACCGAGAACCATCAGCATAATCTGATTTCTCAAGCTTTGCCTTCAAATTATTCAGCAATGTTAACAGCTTCATCACATGATCATCCTTACAAGGTTCATCGAGTCCTTGGACTTGGGAATCAGCACCTGCTTTCTCCCTTTTCAAGGAAACCTCATCAAGCTTTGAGTACAACCAGTCGAGCTTGAAGCCTGCTTCGGCCAGCTCACTCAACTCGATGCGAACATTGCTTAGCTCAGTCTCTGAATGATTAAGTGAAGGATTATCAAGTGTCTCAACGAGGCTGAGAAGGACATTCATGTATTCTGTCCTGACAACTTGGTTCCTTGGTGTGAAATCATATGCGAGGTCTGGGTGCTCCGCGAATATCTTCCTTGCTAAAGTAGCCTATTAAAAGTATATTTATTATGTTAATCAGAAAAGGTATATATATACGCCAATAAGCAAACTTATAGGAATTAGTGATCAAACTATTATAAAAACAGATCCTTTTTGAGTTTTACCTGAGAAGCAAGAAGTTGAAACCCGTTGATATCCACGGTCTCCTTCTTCTCTGATACATGTCTTAATTCTCCATCAAAAGAATCTACCATGTGAATGTAGACTTCAGCAATGAGTTTGTCATTCTCAAGCAACCCTTGTTTCTGAAACTTGCGAAGAGGCAAGGTCTCTGCGAAACCCCAGCTCAGAGAATCTGCCTGAAATTGTATGTGCTCTTCAACTATGAAACATAAGCAGAAACGGAGCCTTTTATTGATTACCACAAATAATTCAAAGAATGAAAGCAAGAGTAGTATATATTAACGCATGGGAGGATATAGGTAAAATAATGACCAGCTGATCTGTAGAGCGCTTTGTGGGATTGATTCAAGAGAACGAAGTAAAAACTAGCAATCCTTTTCCATCCACTTCCCACTGGTTTAGAGTTAGTAGCGTACAGGTACAAAGACGAGTAATCAACGTAAAGACCATCTTCTCCCTTGGGAAGAAGGGAGATATACCTGCAGCAGAAATAATATATTAATTAATTAATTAGTGCTAGCTAGCCCTAGGTACTATCAAATTACTAATTAAAGTAGGATTTTCGTGTTTTTTATACCATTCGTATCCGCCACTCACGAATACGTTTGACATCACAGCAGCTTCCTTCCCCGAGAAGTTGTCTATCTCAAACCTGAAACATGCCTTTTCTTTCCACATCTTTCACCTTCAATGCTTCCCTTTGATTTCTTTTTTTTGTTTGTTTTTGTTTTTAATTCGAGCAAAAGACGGAACTCTCTGAAGCTTCGTTTTGGAAAAGCCCGCTCTATTTATACAGGAGGCCTAATTAAAGAAGACAAACACTTCTCTAAACCCTAACACAAAAACAAACCACGTGATATGTGCGGCTAAGCCGACATCTGTTAATGGGCTTTCTAGCCAGTAAGAGATCAACACGGGCCGGGTCATGTGTGTTACTATTAATATATTAAGCATGTCATATTGGAAGGATACTTTCATGGTTTACATAAATGAACATCTTATCTTTTTTTTTTTTTTTTTATAGTGACCATCTTGATGTTCCCACATACACAAAATCTTATGGCGCTCTTTATGCGAAATGATCTACACACTTCTCTAATGTCTCAACTCCTCTCTTTAAAAAAATGGAACCATATATAACATGATAGCACGCAAAATATGATTCAATGAAAACATCCAAAAGTGGTGCATATGTTTTATATCTATATATAATAGCAAACCCACTTTTTGTGTACTGCTGATGTCATCTTTTGAATCTAACGTTTCAGATTGTTTTTCATTTGATCTAAAGGTTATTGTTTAATCTCAATATATATAAAAGCAAAAAATATGTCTTTATAAAAGGATGTGTCTTTTAATTGTGTCTTTTTAAAAAGATGTGTCTTTTAATAAAAATACCCCTGTAATTTAATCTATGCAATGTTTCACAATCACACTCTTTCATTCCATATATAAATATTCTACATCTTGATTGTTTTGTTTTAATTTATTTACAAATTTATTTTCCTGAAACAATTGTTTCTTCAAATTTTGTTTTTCCAATCCTATTTGACTTTAAATTTGCTTAGCCATTATTATCTAAAGCTATTAATTGTTATTACCTTTTCGTGAATTCTCAAACCCACTTTATATGATTGCTGAGATCATCATTTTAATCTAATGGATGAGATTGTTCCCGTTATGTCATCTAACTGGTTATATTTGTTAATGATCCCAAAAGTTGCAAAGTTTTATACCCAACAATTGTGTTTATTCGTCGTACCCTAGCTTAAAATTTTTGCACCTGTTATTTTTTCACACCTCTTTGCTTGTATATATAGATTTCTGTGTATCTTGAAAATAAATTTTGTTTCTCTAAGTATTGTTTCTTTGAGTATTGTTTCACACCTCCGAGATTAAAAAATCTGAATATTCTTTTTTCGATTAATTAGTATTCATTGATTAACGATCTTCGTTTAAATATGACTGATTTATTTATTTATTTCCTTATTCAACCTTTGTTTGGTGTCGTTTTCCATCTTATACATGCATTGATCATATCTTCAATGTATTGATCTAGGTAATTAATTTTGACTATCAGCCTACTTATTACTTTTTCGTAAATTTCAATAGAATAATGATTTGAAATTTGCTTTATGTGAATACCTTTCATATATCTTGTTAACATTGTTCTCTTCTTGTCACTAAATCGATTTCTGTATTTGCAACAAAATTATTAATTGATTAATTTAACTTCAAAAAGGTATAAAACTCATATAAAATGTAGTAACATGGCCATAGATTTACACTCAAACATCATCTGATTTGTTTTGTTTCATCTTCCTCATTTTATTTTATATTTTGATAAGCCTTTAAACTTATAATTTCTACTCCCTTTTTTATTGTTTGATTAGTGACTTCACTAAATTTTTATTGTTTAATTATACTTCTAAATTTCTACAAGAATCAGTTACAAATCATTGTTTCAAATTGTTGTGTTTTATTTATTTATTTATTATTATTAATCATAGGTTGGTGTTTTGATACAACAATATTCGTTGGTATTTATAGTTGAATTCTATCTGTAGATACAATTGGATATGATTCTAATATATACTGTGATTTGTGAAATGTAATTTGAAGCAAGATCGCCCTTAAATTTATAGCTCATATTTTGATAAAACCATAAGATTGATATAACAGAAGCATACAAGAAGAAGAAGTTGCTTCATGTTGATCTTTGTCAAATGAAAAGTTGTGCCATATGTAGATGCCTCACCAAAACACCAAATATATGTTCTTTTAAATCTAATTGACAATAATTTGTCATTGTAAAACTTTTTTTTCTTAAATTGAAGCATATTCTTTCTCATTGATGTTTTTTTAGGTATTGCTTATGTTCCTATAATGTTATGTTGAATTTGGTTGAATATGTAGAGTTGTCTCATTAGTTTAATGGTACTAATGTTTCGTTGGTGATTGAAACATGTATTATGCTAGAAATAGTTGAGTTTTGTATCCAAAAAAATTCTTAGATTTTGTAAAAGGAAAAGGCATGAATCTTTGATATGATTTTAAGATCATTAGCTAGAAGTTCATTTTATAATTGCGTTGACAGCTTTGTTTTTTAAATAAAGCAAAAGAGGGGGCACGTTAACCGTAAAAAATGGTCATTCATAAATATTGAATTCTTTTGACTTTATATGATCATCAGTATTAAAATGCAGCGATACCATTAGAAAAATATGATTTGAAGGATAAAGATAAAATTGTAAAAAAGGTTTCTCAATCTTACAAATCTAATATATCATAATATAGAAAAGGTAAAAAATTTTTTTTGTAAATTAAATAAAAAAATAAACAATTAGAAAATTATAATCAATTTTCCACGCGAAAAAGTTATTTAACAATGTTAATTATTTTAAGTTTTTATTTCCCCGTGCGGCAACGCACGGGCTGACAGCCCTAGTATATATAAAAAAAGAGAGGATAAAACCATCATCACATAACTAAACGGGTCTTTCTATAAAAGCCAAATCTCTAGACTATTAGTATCATCATATCTCTACCTCAATCGATATAGTCGATCAGCAAAAAATCATTAGTAGAAGATTTGTCCTTTGTTCTCCTTGCCCAGTTCAACTTTGAGATCTAACACCATCTTCTCAAGACTCTTGATGCGTCCTTCCATTTCTTTGACCCGAGAACCATGAGCATCATCTGGTTTCTTCCTTTCCAAGGAAACCTTCTCAAGCTTTAACTTCAACCAGTCCAGCTTGAAGCCTTGTTCCATCAGCTCACTCAACTTGCTGCGAGCTGAGCGTATCTCAATGTTAGAGTGATTCTGTGAAGGCTTGCTAAGTGTCTCCACGAGGTTGAGAAGGACATTCATGTATTCCTTCTTCACGAATTGGTTCTTTGGTTTGAAATCTTTTGCAATCTCTGGGTGCTCCGCAAATATCTTCCTTGCTGAAGTAACCTGCCAAAGGAATATAGTATAACTATTATGCTACTCAGAAAAGGAATATATATGAATCTATACGCCAAGAAGCTCCATAAAAAAAGCTCACAAAAACAGTAGAAGAAATATTTGTAAGTTTACCTGATAAGGAAAAACCTGAAAACCATTGATATCCACAGTCTGCTTCTCTTTAACAACTCTGCCGTTTACATCAACAAGTTCAACGCCCCAAATATAGACATCAACGATGAGCCTGTCCTTCTCCAAAAGGCTTTTTTCATTAAGGTTTATATAAGGCAAGGTCTTTTTGTAACCCCAGGAAGGATACGTAGAGCAAAACTTGGTGCGTCTTGGTTGACCATCTGTCAAACGATGTTCAAAAGTAAAACAAGCAAAAGGGTAATTAAGTCAACTACTTCATATATCTATCATAGGCTAATGTATAGTTTCTGCATTCTTCAAGATCCAAAACATGAGTAAAAGTAACACAAGTAAAATTACTGACCAATACCAGGTTCTTTATGTGTTCTGTAGAGCACTTTGCCGGATTGATTTAACAGAAGGAAGTCATATCTAGCTTTCCTTATCCATCCAGTAGGTAATGATTGAGGATTTGCAAGGCTTAGGAACAAAGACGTGTGATCATTGCAACTACAATTTCCCTTGGGATAGAGTCTAAGATACCTGAAAAAAATATGTAAAACAAAGATTAATTGAAAAACATCTTTCTTCGATTAACTAAAGATCCGATTCTTTTGCCGTTTTACCATTCGCATCCGCCGCTTATGAATATAGGAGACAATATCACAGCTTCCTTCTCCGAGAAGTTATCTATTTTAAACCTGAAACTCCTCGGCACTTGATTCCCCATATGTGTGACTTCTTAGGTTTTGTTACTTGGAAGAATAAAAGAAGATATTATTTGAAACGTGTTTGTTTCTCTATTTATAGAGGAGGCAAAAAGTATAACTTTCAAAATCCTAAGAGAAAAAGGAAACCCTATAACTAACCGGCCATGGTGTAATTAATTAAACCATAAATAAATCACCCCCACTTCTTGATAATTTTAACTTACATATTTGCGATGAGGCTATCTTAATAAAAACAAATTAGTCAAGAAAAAGAGTTTATAATATAAAATTGATTATTAAGAAAGTAATAAGATATATGTACCGAATTCATAATTGTAGTATATATGTATCTCATAAATAATTAATAAGAGATATATGTTATGATCCAGCGTTAAAAAAAAAGATAAATGTCAAGAAAAAAAAGATTTGGAAATGATCCATATATTTATAATGTTTTTAAAATTTTCAATAAGTTTTTGTGGGTGTAACAATATATACAGTAGTTGTAAAAAGTTGGTCGGACACACGCGTGAGGCTAATCGAAGTGCCTAAATTTAGAGTCTAAACAAAATTTTATATTACTCTCTATTCACTGATATCAATCTCTACAGATCACCAAGTAATATATGAAACGGTATCTTCCGTATTTGAGAAATTATCCATCTCAAACATGAAAACATGGTACGCTCAATGAGAATAGTTTTGCTCGTGATTGGATCATCATATATAAGCACATATTAAACCCAAATATGACTAAACGAAAATATCCATAAGTTGCGCATATATATAAAAAAATAAAAATCATAAAACCATCAACATAAGCAGGTCTTTCCATAAAACCGAATCTCTAGTGTATTAAGATGTCCACGTTATTCAACCTGTTCCATCAGCACAAAATCATCAGAAAAAGATTCCGTCTCCTCCATGTCGTCCAGTTTAAATTTGAGTTCTGACACCACCATCTCAAGATTCTTGATGCGTCCCTCCATTTCTTTGGCTCGAGTACCATCAGCATCATCTGATTTCTTCCTCTCCAAGGAAACCTCCTCGAGCTTTGTCTTCAAAAGCTCCATCTTCAAGCCCAAGTTCATCAGCTCAAGATTCTTAACACGCTCATCGAGTTTTTGGACATCAGCATCTGCTTTCTTCCTCTGCAAGGAAACCTCATCAAGCTTTGACTGCAGCCAGTCCAGCTTGAAGCCTTGCTCCATCAGCTCACTCAGCTCCATGTGAGCATTGCTTAGCTCAGTCTCTGAGTGATTCTGTGAAGGCTTGTTAAGTGTCTCAATGAGGTTGAGAAGGACATTCATGTATTCCGTCTTCACCACTTGGTTCTTTGGTTTGAAATCATCTGCAAAGTCTGGGTGCTCTGTGAATATCTTTCTTGCTGAAGCAGCCTGCATGCCAAAGAAAATATATGTTTATGTAACTCAGAAATAAATCTGAACAAGCAACCACAAAAGGGCACAGAATCAAAAGAATAAACAGATTTTGTTTCAAGTTACCTGAGAAGCAAAAACCTGAAAACCGTTGATATCCAGAGTCTCCTTCTTCTCTGATACAACTCTGCCTTTTCCATCATCAGCTTCAACACTAGTAATGTAGACTTCAACGATGAGTTTATCCTTCTTCAAAAACCCTTTTTCATGAAGTTTATCAAGAGGCAAGGTCTTCCGGAAACCCCAGCCTGTAGCCTCAGCACTAAACCAACCATGGCTATCTGTGAACGGGAGGCAAAACAAAAAGAAAGGCATAAAAAAAGTTAACTTCTTCATCAATGATCATGCACTAGTTACGTTGCTTCCTCTTCAAGATTCAAACATTAGTTTAAGCGTATCAACAACAGCCTATAGTTCTAAATTGGTCACAAAACCCTAGAGTATATAACTCATCACACAAAAGCTTAATGAAAAGTTTAAAAGAAGAAAGATTCAAACAAACATGGATCATCGAAAGATATATAAAATCATTACTTGGTGATCTGTAGAGCTCTTTGCCGAATTGATTCAAAAGAACGAATTGAAAACAAGATTTCCTTTTCCATCCACTTCCCAATGATTTAGGGTTTGCGACGTGTAGGAACACAGACATGTGATCATCGCAAAGATCATCTCCCTTCGGATGAACGTACAGAAACCTGGAAGAATTTTAAACCAAAAGATTAAAAAAAAGATTAAACCTTTAACAGTAAAAAAAAATCTAATTAACAAAAAAAACACACTAGTTAAAGATCCGAGTCTGATCGCTTTACCATTCGTATCCGTAACTCAGGAATGACTGAGAAGCTATGGCAGCTTCCTTTTCAGAGAAGTTATTTATCTTAAAACTGAAACTCGAATTCCTCTGCACATTATTCTTCCCCATAGTTGATCCGAAAGAGTTTGTTAATTCGAGAGAGCAAAAGACTGAAATAATATCAAATACTTTGTTTGTTAACTTTCACAGGAGGAGGCACAAACTTATATATAAGAAAAACTTTCTTGGTTTTTGAGAATTTTTCTATTTTTTTTTTCTTAACCCTTTTTCTCTGAAAAGAAAAACTTCTCAAAGCCCTAAATTAAAAAGGAAACCAATTACCACACGCTTCTACAATTATGTAAAACCCTAATATTTTTATAAGGAAATAGCAAATTATAGTTTTTCTTTTTACTCTTCATTTAATATTTATTGCAAATCACGACATAGCAATTATAGTTTGTCCTTAATTATCATGACATAAACTACAATTAAAGAAAATTTTAATTATTCTTTTTTAAAAGTATAATAAATTTGGCAAAAGTTCATATAATAATGTAAATGTTTTACACATCTTTGTTTAAAAAATTATTATTATCATCTATAGATAATATGTATAACCCATATGAGATATTTTGTTATTATCTTAGTTTTATTAGGCCAATGGTATTATTATAACCCACTGATAAAGCATAATTAATATCTAGGATATTGTAGGATTTCTACGTCAATCAAATTGTTCCATCAACACAAAATCATCAGCAAAAGATTTGGCCTCCCTCAGGTCTTTTAGTTTTTGTTTGAGTTCTGTCAACAATTCTTGGACCCGAGATTTCTTCCCCTCCTCAATCTTCAACTCCAAACAGGCCAGCTTGAATTCAAAGCGCCTCATCTCAAGATTATTAACATCAGCATCTGCTTTCTTCCTCTGCAAGGAAAGCTCATCAAGCTTCGACTGCAACCAGTCCAGCTTGAAGCCTTGCTCCATCAGCTCACTCAACTCTATGTGAGCATTGTTTAGCTCAGTCTCTGAATGATTCTGCGAAGGCTTGTTCAGTGTCTCAATGAGTTTGAGAAGTACAGTCATGTATTCCGTCTTCACCACTTGGTTCTCTGGTTTGAAATCATCCTCAATATCTGGGTGTTCTGTGAATATCTTTCTTGCTGAAGCAGCCTGCATGCCAAGGAAATAGTTGTTTTATGTAACTCAGAAATAAATCTTAATTATAAGCAACCACAAAACGAAAAGAAGAAACAGATCCTTTTTAACTTACCTGAGAAGCAAGAACCTGAGAACCGTTAATATCTAGAGTCTCCTTCTTGTCTGATGCAAGTCTGCCTTTTCCATCAACAACTTCAACTTGGCTAATGTAGACTTCAACGATGAGTCTATCCTTCTCCAAAAACCCTTTTTCCTGAAGCTTTGTAAGAGGAAAGGTGTTTCGATAACCCTTGCCTGTAAATTTAGCATTATACCAAACCTGGCCAACTGTGAAACACAGAGACAAAGACAAAAACAGAAAAAGTCATCAATGATCAATCAGAGGCGGTTGTGTAATATACAAGCTGCCTCTTCAAGATTAAAACATGAGTTGGATCCAAACCAAGTCCACAAAAACCATTGGCCTTGATCAGTATAACTCATCACAAAAGCTAGATGAAATGTACGTGATCTATGTATTTTTACTAGTTCACCCGCCGCTACTACATATGTATATATGCTTAGACTAAGATACTCTTGGTTTCTCCCCCTATATTTGTGCTAAAATCTAGCATAGAGTACCGTTTGTAAACTCCAAAAGCGAATGAAAATTTGACAATAAAAAGAAAAGAAGAAAGTAAAGTTTCAAACAAGGATATTACTTGGTGATCTATAAAACTCTTTGTCGGATTGATTCAGCAGAACGAATTGAAACCTAGGTTTCCTTTTCCATCCACTTCCCAATGATTCAGGATTTGCAACGTACAGAAACAAACCCAATTGATCATCACAAAGACGATCTCCCTTCGGATGAACGGTGAGATACCTGTATTTTTTATTTTATTTTTTGGATTAGTGCTACGTAAAATCGAACTCATCAACTTTTGAGGAATTATTATTCTCGATTTTTTTTAAAAAAATATATAATTAAAAAACATGTTAAAGAACCGGTTCTTTCTCATTTTACCATTCGCATCCGTTACTCATGAATGCCTGAGACGATATCGCACCTTCCTTCTCTGAGAAGTTATCTATCTCAAACCTAAAACTCGAATTCCTCTGCACTTGGTTCTCCCCCATAGTTGATTCTTAGAGTTTGCTACTTTGACAACAACAGAACTGAAATAATCAAAAACTCTCTGTTTGTTACTTGCACAGGCTATATATATAAGAGCCAATCTTCTCAAAATCTCTAACTTAACAAAAAAAAAAGAAACCAATTAAAAGAAAATGAATGAAGGAAGAAAATCTCTTTCATAATCTATACTATATAAAAGATAATTAAATAATTAAATAAACCCCTAAACTTCTCAAAAACTTTAGCTAAAAAAAAAAAGGAAACCAATTAAAAGAAAATAAACAAGTAAACCTCTCTCTCTTAATTAGTAGATAAAAGAAAATTTAATAATTAAGTAAACCCCTAAGATTTTTTTATAAGGAGGTCATAATTATAGTTGTCCTATTTATTAATTATGACATAAATTACTAAAGTTTTATTTAGTTGTATATACTTTTTTGTCAACTTTAGTTATATATACTTAAAAACAAATTATAATAAATCTGGCAGAAGATAATATAATAAATTAATTTCAATTCTCTTAAGAATCTTTGGTAAGTCTGATATTTAAGTTATTACAGATAATTTCAAAATCATTAATTAATGCATTTATAGTTTTAGTCTAATAAAGCTATAGTAAAAACATTATATTAAGGGGGTGTTATTGGTTAGTGATTTATATAGAGTTTTAATGACTTCAAATGTTATGTAAAATCAGTTGTTATTCAATCAAGATTTTATTAGAAATTTATAAAGTCATTTAAAGTTTTGGGTTATTCAATTAAAACAAGAAAATCTTTGATTGTTAATGAATTAAATTATTATGTTATTGGTTTATGAGTTTAAACACTTCTCTTTACAAATTAAAGTCGTGGGAAGTATAATCAAAATATAGAGATTGTTTGAAAGACTTTACAAGACTATAGAAATCATGACAACAAGACTACAAAAAATCTCTATAAGGGGGTGTATTCAATCTAACATTTTAAGTGATTTATGGAAAACCAACAAATCCCATGTTATTGAATTATGAATTTTAAAAAATCTTTTGAAATCTATTGTTATTGAAGTAGTGATTTGAAAATCTAGTTTAAAATCCACGATTATTGGAAATGTTTTGAGGATTTGGTTTTTAAATTTTTAAAGGATTCTGCAGGATTTTGGAGGATTCTTTTAGTTATAAATTCAGAAATCCAAATCTCATGGTTTTAGGTGATATTTGAAAGAATTTTAAAATAAATCATATCAACTTACTTAAAGTCACCCAAAACCATCAAAATCATATAAAAACTTAATGAAACTCAAATCACACAAAATATAAGATTGAATACACCCCCTAATAATCTTTTAGATGATTTCATTTACATACAATCTATGATTTTATTTAAATTATCTAAATCCTTTATAAGTCACAAACCAATACCACCCCCTAAGACACTTCATTGAATATTGATGATATATGAAAACCCTACAACCCCATAAGTTCTTATAAAATTCTGAGTTAGTACAGTGGTGTGGAAGATAGTCGAATAATCCAATAACATTTGAGCTAAACAAAATTTTGTAGAATTACTCCTTTAAAAAACGTGATTCCAGATTATGAAACTTGAAAATGATATAACCATTCATCACCTAAATTTTTCTAAGACAAACTTAATTCTTATTTTTTAAACGACAATTTGAAAAAAAAATATCTTCCAATGATAAGTTTTTCAGTTTTGCAAACACACACCAAACAACAAAAGGTCCAAGTTCGAAATTGATACGAGCCAATTTCTCAAGAGAAACGGAGAAATAAAATCTGTCTTTAAGAGAAAAGGAGAAATGAAATTTGTCTTGTTCATCAGAGCTTTGAAAGTAAACCAGTCTGAATAGGTTTCGGTGCTACAACCTCTTTGACTTCACTGTCTTTTGTATCCAACTCGCATGGATTCGGTGGCACATCTACGGCCGGTGAGCAGTTGAAGAATCCATGTGGCTGTGTTTTACCAAAATATGTTAAGTAAATGTTTGTCTTTTCTTTATCAAAATCCTAAACTGAAAGTTACCAGACAAAGATCTGCTTACCATTAGAGTGAAACCAATATGTTCAACGGGCATAACCGGCCAATCTTCAAGTCTAGGAACATGTATGATCCCAAACACGTACCTGTGAAATGAAAATTCCACATTGACATAACAAAATTTTGGAAGTTTTAAGTGAATCATGTGAGTGAAAGAGAGATACATACCAAAGAACAACGTCTGATTCTTCCAAGGAGCGATTCTGTTTCACCCATGTGGAAAGACCTTCACCAGCACGTGGGTTTTGGTTTGGGAATTCACCTCCAGGAAACTTCTCTTCAGGGGCGTAACGGGTTACCCAGAGATTGTGCTTCAGAAAAGCAGCTCTTCTTAGAAATTTAGCCTCTGGTCGAGCTAATGGCAAACAATTTGAACCCGGCACAAGTTTGTATCCCGTTAACTGGCCTGTTCTGTTTACAGTCCTTGTGTTCCTTACCTGACAACACAAAACATTGAGTTGTGTTGAATATACATCTTGCATAAGTATATTATCTATACTTCAGCTACAAATCATATTCAATGCACTCTGAGATGAGTTTTTGGTAATGCAGCTCAAGTATATGACTATATAAGAAGGACATGAATGAAAGTTAGGAATGGTCAGGTGATCTCTTCTTTCACATTCACTCAAGGGCGAGGATGAATGAATTATAACTGGTGAAATGAGCATTGACAATATGACAATTTAAAAGTTCAACATTCAATAAAATAATGCATTCAGATGGTACGTAGTGGACAAGATCATGAAAGGTACGGATTGCTTACAATCCAATGGCGAGCAGAAAAAGGGTCACAGTCACGCATCGCCTCTGCCTCAGATCTAAGTAACTTCTCCTCCGCATAAAACGCATTGTTGTGAACATTGTTCTCACCAGGCTCGTCAACTCTAGCATTAACCTCAACTACCTACAGAGTACAGATAGAAGTGGATTAAGCTGACTATTGAGCTAATCACCTGACAACATGTATCTAATATTTACTTTCATGAATTATACTACAATAGGGACCTCTAAAATTCATATGCTACCAATCATTCGTAAAAACTGAGAAAATAATCCGCATATGTAAACAACAACAAGAAGAGCAGCAAAGTAAAAGTACCTGATTAAATGCTTCGCCAGGTTTACAGTCAACAGACATATCCATGCGAGCGATAAAGAAATGTTGATGGACTGGTGCATACAACCCAGGAGCAATAGTAGTACCGTACTTTCGAGTTTCTCCTGGCTGCAGCGCTCCTAAACTGAGGATACCAGTGAGTTTTACTTCAGCTTCGATTTTCCCATCCTACAGTAAGATATTCAAGAAATAAAATGATATTGGTCTTCAAATATCCAGAAAGATGAAACCAAAAAACAGCAAACAAATGTAACTCGGATTCAGCACTGTAAACTAATGTCCCCAAGTGAACAAATCACAAGCAAAGTATTAAGGCAATTGTTGTGAGCTGCCGTTCTAAACTCAGGATTTATCCACATGCAGAGACATATTTTTTTGTCTTCCCTATAGAAATTAAATGCAAATATGACTAATATCTGCTTTACTCTAGAAGTGAATAATCATGTATTCAATACCTGGTAGAAGTGCCAGTAAAACCCATACTCGTAGTTAGCAACAGTACATAGAAAAGAGACAGTTAGCCTCCTAGATCTTCGCACTTCGGCTAATCCTGTTCTCCAGTCCTGATGTTTCCACAAAATTCCATGGTCCTCTTCATGTAAGCAAACACAGTTCTCAATTGTTTCAACTCCTCCAGTGAAATTTGTGAAATGGGCGTCAAAGTACTTGATAGATCCCAGACAGTCACACCCCTATAAAACCGATTGTTAAACACAAACTGAGATCTGATTAGAGAGAGAAAAAAAAAAAAAAAAAAAAAAAAAAACAGGTTTCAAACCTTCTTAAGCGAATGTGCATTTTTTCCAAGACCATCCTCCCCTGCATCAAAAGCATTTTTCCTGTAATGTGGCTCATTTGGATCGCCATAAGGCACAACCATCTCCACAAAGCTTAGCCTGTGTGCAACAGGCCTTCGACCTCGACTGCCATCAACATATGCTACCGAATGTATGACTAAACCTTCTCTTGGAGTGAACCCAATTCGAAAGTTCCACTGTAAACAAAATGTTGAACCTATTTAGAAATAAGCTTAAGCATAATCACTTGGTTAAAATTAGACTATTTCTGGAATCCTACCTTCTGCCACTCGACAAAGTAACCTCTTACACGAAAACTAGGACCTTCAGGTTGAATAATCTGGAGAGGCTTCACATCACTTCTATCAACACCCCCTCTACTTTCACCTGGGGTATAATTCCTCAAAGGGTCAGGTGGGGGGAGTGGCACAAACTTACGGTCTTCAAACTCAATCACCACCATGTTTTGCATGTCTACAAGTACATAAATTCCCTCAACTGGACGAGCATAGCCATTTTCCATAGGAGAATCACTATCAGTCCGACAGTATATAAGGGGCTTTGCAAGCCGGCGACTAGGAGCATCAGCCTCACTGTGATAACCCACACACCTGCACAATACAATTGGAGGCAGGCTTAGGGAAATTGTTGTACACCTTAATTGACAACTCTCAAAGAAACAATGATGTTGTTAACATACCAGGGATCAACCATCACTAGATCCATGTCTTCAATACCTCTCCTCTTCATTGCCTCTATGAACGGGGGAAAGTCTTTGACAATCGCTTCACACTCAGCATATTCAGCCGCATCCTAAAATCACGAGAATCTAAACTGAGAGACTGACAACAACAGTAGCATCTAAATTTCACTTAGAGATCGAATTCCGTATACATACCATGGGTGGCTGAACATCAGGTATAATTTCTGAGGAAACAACTTTTCCCCTGTGATGGCCACCTCGAGTGACAGCATGAACTTCAGATAACTCCACAATCCATACACTTGTCACATTGGACTTTTGGTTGTAAACAACAAGTCTTGCTCGGCGTGGAGGGAGCTTCATGGGAATCACAGGTCCAGATTTGGTTCTTGGAAGTAGTGATGGCTGGAACGGTGGGAAAAAGTAAGCATCTGCAAGCGCCACAACATGTTTATCTGGTTCCACTGAAGCCACCTCA